GAACCCCCCCCCCCCTCCTACAAAAATTTTTGTAAAATCTTTTTTTCATGACATATAAAGTGCAACTTACGTCTCTATAAGGCAGTGTTTTCCAAACTGTGTGCCGTGGCACACTGGTGGAAAGTAGAATGGAGTAAGAAAGCTCTATATTTTGATGAACGTCAAGTTTCAATGTCTCCTTTAAAGCCATAGAATATATATATAGAAATTTCGAATTAAGCACACTTTGAGCATGTACCGCTCCTTACAAAATTGTATCTCGTATATATAATCAGAGCTAAAAAAGGATTGAAAGAGACTTATTGTGTAATGTTATCATCGTTATCAACAAAATAGGAGATTATGAAATTGGCAAAAAGTTGGAAACAAAAGCGAGTTTTTGTAAAACATTGTAAATTGGAATGAAAATGATGAATAGAACAAAAATATGGAAATTTTATATTGTTTACAGAAAAACGTGCGTTGGCGTCATGTCAAAGTGAATTTTTTATAAGTCATATAAAAAATGTGAAGTGAATTTTGAGTAGAAAGGATTTCATTTCCATTGTTAACAACGAAACACATCCATTCCAAACTTTATGTCTACTGTGATTAAACGTTGTAGAAGAGATTAATTACATTTTTGTCAACTTATCTTTCTTTTTTGTGTGTGTGTGTGTGAAATTAATGCTTACAACATGTGAAGCTTAACTCGATTACTCCTTTTGTGCTGTGTGAAAGCTTCTTTCTTCTTGTGAATGAAAATGAACTTATGTCACATATTTTCAATATCATTTGTATATATTCACATTAGGCTGCGTGTTTATGTCAACAGCTATTTTGTATCATCGACCTTGAGTGACGAGCTTTCTCTGTGAATGCCTAGCAACAGCTTATTGATGATATTCACGAAAATATTAGCAAGATATTTCTTTTGTCATTGAAATTGTGAGCTTGCTGGAGGCTTAAAATTGGCAATTATTTGTGAAAATAAAATTGTGAACTGTCTCCGTGTAGCCATGTTAAAGGAACTCATAAAGAATTCAAGTCATTCTGATATCTAGTCAAAATATATTGGCGGTCTAATAATTGGATATGATCTCCTCAACTCCTTCAATTTGATTGCACATCTTCAGATCAGCTATTTCTCACATATTATCTTATTCCAGCTCAAGAGCGTAGCCAGGGGGATTTTGGGGGACAAATGCCCCTTCGTCATCAGAAGTTTCTTTATTTTGCTATGGTTTTTATGAAAAACTCGCAATTCCACCCCCCCCCCCCCTCTATTTTTTGCCAACCGCCCCCCCCCCCCCCTTTTCAAATTCCTGGCTACGCCCCAGGTACAGCAATTTTCTCAAGCAGATTTCAATTTTTTATCAAAACTGCAGCATAAATAATTGTCCAATAAAATCATTTTTCTATTCCTTATTCCTTCTGTTCCACTTTCAACAGCATTCTTTAAAAATCACTAACAATTTTGGTATTTTGTAATATCTACAAGACCCCTTAAACATTTTTTTATCAACCTCAAAAGTATTTTTAATCCTTTATGATTCTTTTAAGAAGATCATGTAGTGGGCTGGAATTTTCTAGTCAATTCTTCCAAGCATGACATTACAATGGAATTATACTTGAAAGGGATGCTGGAGAAATGTTTAAAAATGTCGTCTAACATAGCCAATATCATATTTGGTATGTGAGACTGTCAAGGCGTTGACACTCATATCATCCGGATGCAATTTGTATTGTTCCGGATGAATTGTTCAATTGTTCAGGCTGAAACGGATGAAAGATCTGATGATGAATTTCTTTTGCAAAGGATGAAATTTTCCCTTTGTTCTGGCTGAAATTGATTTGAGTGTCAAAGCCTTGGTGATTGTTGGGCATCAGAAATAGAGTCAAGGAGTAAATAAAGAGATTTAAAACCTTCATGTTGCATTTGAAATCGGCAATTGGCAGACGGTAGCCAGCGATAGAGCTGGTTTTAGGGGACGACTAAGGGAGGTCATAGATCACCATTGATTTGTAAAACCAGTGAAGTAAATAAGTAAGTGAAACCTTCATATGGGAGCTGAACCCCCCCCCCCCCCCCTCCGCCCTCCTACTCCATTGAAAAAACACCTCCTCAATTTTATCTAACATAAAAAAAAATTTCAACCCCCCCCCCCCCCCCAACCTCATCAAATTGCTTCACCTTTGACATCATTAGTTAATGATCCCCATCAACTTCCAGCAAAAATGACATAATCGTTGAAAAGTTCATGAACTTTGAGTACCGAATTCCATGGTGATGGATTATTGATGATTGCCGATGTTTACATAAACCGCATGTAAAATACAAAATTTATTTATTTAATTCAGCTTCGAGGCTTTCTCATTTCTGCGAATAATTTTTGATTCCGTCTCAGTGAAATTGCAAATTTTAATGTTTTTGGTAAATAAAACATCATTTCAAAGAGTCGCAATTGCTGAAATTGCGTTTGATTTTTTATGTTTCTTATTTTTGATGGAACTAATAATTAAAGTACAGCAAATGAATCTTAATTTATGCTAATTGTTTCAGAAAAAATCTGATGAAATCTTCTCAGAAATTTTTTCAGAAAACAACAAGTCGAAACATTTGTTTACGAAAGGGTATGGAATTTTTTGTTTTTGGATGATGTCATGATAAGACTTCTCAAGTTTGAAGATGTAAAGTTATAATGATGATACTCTTGATTGATATTTTTGGATTGTATTATAAATTGAAACAAAACAATATTTGTGAATGTTATTTTTGTTAATTGGCAAGCTTTTAAGAGAGATTTAAATTCAGGTTTGCAGTCAGTGGGTGGGTTTAGACTGTCATCTTCATGCAACTGTGATTTTCTTAGAAAATAAGCACAATGGGTACATCCAAAAATAAGAATTTCACTCTCAAAGTACTAAAATGTCCTCAGTTCGTCTATTGATGTGTCTAGTTAACTTTAAGAGATCTGTGTTGGAAGTTTAAATTAAACCAGCTTGTTAAGCGATTCCTTACATGTAATTTAGTATCTACAAGCTGCAAATCAATCCACAAAAAACACATCAACCACTTCCAATCCAAAATACCAAAACAGTCTCCATAAATAATTAATATTCTTTTGTGTTTACCACCATGCATGATTATATTTCGTCCGAACAGTAATTTTCTAATCTAATATCCTATTATGACTAGACACGTTATGTTTTTGGTGCATAACAACCTACATATCCGAGTGAATTGAGTACTTAAGATCCTCTTTCATTTTTTTCCCTCACTTACTTCACGCCCATGCGATATGAATCTTATTTTTTCATATATGTTACTAATAAATTCTTATGGGAATGACGATGACTATGAAAAAGCTCTGAACTTATTTCCTTCTTCTTTTCCTCTCTCTTGTTCATTCATATGATGGTGTCTATCATGACGAAAAAGATGCAAATCATCTGTCATGTTATACGTTGACATATACATATTCACAAAAAAAAAAGCATGAGGAAAGAAGAATAGAACGAACATTAATAATAATAATGGCATGTTCTCGTTTGAGCATATTTAACAATTCTTTTATGAGTTTTTGATAATATGACTGTGTGCTAAATTATTCTTTTCAAACGCAACAAATTATTTCGAAATATTCAAGGCGGTGGGAAGTTTTATGACGAGTCTTTTCTCCGTCTTAGTCTTAATTGTTAATGTTTTTTGAGAATGATGTACTTGATAATGAAGGATGTCGAAGCACAAGAGTTTTGCGATTCAAATATAAATTTATTAAAATTGAAATTAATGGAAAATTGAGAATAATGAATGTATGAGAGGCGTAACAATTCGGACTTGGACCCTTGGTGCTTTCAACCTTTGGGACTTGGTCTTGACTTTCCTTTAGTGTTTGGATACCTGCATCCTGGGAAAGGGTCAAATTTGTGACACATTGTGACAAGGAAAAAACCAGAAAATTTGTCACATCCATTTTTTTAATCAGGAAATTATAATTTTTCAGAGGGGGGGTTAAAAAATAGTTTTTTTGATGGACGTAATGAGTGAACGGCCCTCACATTTTTTTTACAAAACAAAAAAAACACTCGATTCCCGCAACTTTAGCAGCACATGCCTTATTCCATGAATACGTGACCCATTTGATTCACGACACGTGGATCATGACACGTAATTCTTTTGATGTTGCTGCTTTTGTAGTTGAAAGGAACAAAAAAAAGGGAATTTAAGCTGAACGATAAAAAATTTTCCACTGTCATTTCCCCAAGTTACACACACACATGTGCTGCTTTTCCTCTTTTTTTTATCTCAACTTCAAATAATTGACTCGATAAAAATGTCAATGTGAATCCTCATGTCAAGTCTGTTATCGGATATGGCTAGAGATCTCATTTCCAATTACATTCATGTCAACATGTGTGATGATTGTGCACGTTTAATTGTTTATCCCATGGAAAAAAAAAACCAAAAATAAACAAGTGTTCGGATATGTTTTAATATAAGCTGCATATGCAATCGTGCGTATGAATGATTTACATGCTGAGCTTTTAACCTCATCAATCCAACTGCCAATTTGTTGTGATTGAATAAATAAGAGAGCCTTTGAGGATTTTTTTTCGTGCTCTGATAAATTTGCGTTGGTTAGCTTCAATCTGGTTTTTGTAGCTACTTTCAATCAACAGAAAAATAATTTTATTTAATTCCATTTTCATGACAACCTGCTCGTTGAAAACAGAATAATATTGAAAATGGGATTTTGAAATGATTTTAATTTTGTTGGAATTTATCGAATTTTGTTCTTTAGGAATTTACATTGTCTGAGAGACCAGACGATTTATTTCTTGATGATTTCATTTGCCATGGAGACTTTTTTGCGATTTGTGAGACTTTTTGTACCTTTTAGATGATTTGAAGTGATTCAGAATTTGGCTGGGTTATTCAATAGTTGTAAGCCATGAGTTCTTCCTTGACTGGACATTTTCCAACTTTAAATTTGAATCATAAACCAATTTTACTTTTTTAAAGAGCAATTTATTTGAGTCAAAAATCTTTTGATTCACAAAATATTTATTTACAAAACTTTAATAGCTAATTGGAGTTCTACAGGCAACAAAATGGTTAAAATCTTCTCTATACAAAAATGAATTTTGCTTCTTTGGTGCCTCAACATGTTCCAAAATCTGCTCACGAACCTCAAACTTCCAAATCATTCGGTTCGTAAATGTATTCTTAAATGATGCATACTTCTCAGCAGCTTGTAAGTTTTCTGGAAAGTCAGTCTTCTTTGTATTCTTGTCAAAATAATAAAATTTCCTTTGAGTAGCCGAAAAGCATCTCATTTTGTCACTGCGAACTTCATTAAGCAAAAGGAGACCACGTGGAATATGGAAGCGATCGTGACTGACGTCATAGCCCATTTTTTCACTACGATCTTTGAGACGTCGAGGCACTAAATGATCAAAAAATCCTTCAAAATCAGTCAATTTGAAGAGTTTCTTACAACGAATTGGAATCGTGTTGTTGTCACGACATTGCTGTGGCTTGTACAAGGCTTTTACAAATTTTTGGCACATTTGATTCCGTTCAACTAGAGACAACTGACGAATGTCTTTTCCACCTAAGATGATTCCATCAATAATGTGCAGTGCTGAGGTTGTAATTTGTGAACGACTTTCTCCAATAAGTTCCTTAACAATTTCTCCATAAATGAGTGTATTTGCTGGCAACTCAACTTTTCCAATATGCTGGTCCTTCAGTGGTTCCCATCTATTAGCTGACATGTTGTAAGAATGAACATCAAATCGTCCACGAGACATAAAGAATGTTCGACCTTTGCTTGACTTTACTATGTCGTCAACGCCAACAAAATACCAATCAAGAACAGAATGAATGTATCCTTTAAGATGATTTTCTGATTTCAGTTCCCTTTCTGGTGCTGTCATGAAATTCTCTTTCATCCATTTTGATTCCAATAATTCAGCACAAATTATGTCACAGCTTTTCATAATTGGCTTTCTACGGGTGTCATCAGGAAGATTCCAAAGTTTTAAACATTGTTTTCTGATGTCTGCTTGACGTGTCTCGACCAAAGTTGAATCATGACAATAAGCTGCGATTTTATTGAGACCAACAATTTGATTCTTTCCAATGATGTTGTTGCTGTTGTAAATGTAGTCATAGAATTCCTTGTCACTCTTAATAACGTCAAATGGCACCAATTCAAGCACATCCATATCAACTGTATTTTCCTGCTTTCCAAGTTCCTTATTAATTTCAAATAAATGATGCTGGATTGTACCCGTAAATGGCTTCTTCCACTTGCACACCAAGTATCTTTCAGAATTAGCAGGTCGACTCGTGTTGGGCTTGCAAATGCTGATTTTTGTAAAGCATTTATACATTAAGTAAATCAGGGATACACTAAATGGTGTGAAGAGGTCGAACAACTTGACCACGAAATGTCCATTGGTCCTTACAATTGACAATGCACAAAGGCACTGTGCAAGATAAAGCTGCTTAGAAAGAATTTCTTGTATATTCTCTTGTCCTTCAACAGAGAAGCCACCGTCAGCCATCATAAAATGCACTCCAGAGTCTGTTTGGTCCATGATGAGATCCTCAAAAGATTTTAGATTTTCTGGATCGTAGACATTTCCATCTCCATTAATTCCATAGAATGGAGTAAATGTCTCTGGAGGTCCAGCAAAAAAGTCATGAAGTTTGAAATCATTCTCAGCTTTTAAGGTAAATCCAAATCCTTTAGCTTCCCACTTCTTACGATTGAGGACATATTCACTAAACCCACCAGGACCAGCACAGACATCAGCAAAGTACAGCAAGTCATCTTTTCCAACTAATGGATTGCCATTTTCCTCAACAGGATTAGTGAACATGAAGTCGAACATTGAATCTATGTTTGCCATTTTAACTGCTGCACGATTAAGGAATATGTTTTTACGGATAGTCTCAAATGGATTTGATTTTGATCTAGCACGGAACATGTCATCAGCACCTAATTTATCAAACACTGATTTTGATTCCAGAACACCTTTAAGAACGTCTTCATCGCAGAATTTTGTTTCATTATCGATTGTTGACTTCTTTGAACCTCTTTTGACCCAGGACTCGAGGGTATCCATTGAAAATTCCAACAAGCTTTCTGCTGGATCATTATTTTCAATCCAATCAACATTTTCAGGTATGGAAAGTTGCTCGGATGATGGATCCCATTTAATTGCTACCTGATCTAGTCCATCAAGTTTCAAGCCAAGACCTCGACGGCCTTTTTGTTGAGCAGCATCGATAAGCTCAATTCTTCCTTGTCCCGATTTTCCAAGACCACTATTTTTAATGAAGCCCATCTTTTCCATCATCTTGAGCGATTTACCTGAGTAGCTGTCAAAATTTACAGGCTGAGGTGCCTTGATATTAGTATCAAGAGTGTTTGTGACTGGATTAATCTGGTTTACTTGAGGCAATTGATTAAATTTTGGTCGCTTATTTACAATTAAATCTTCTGGATTATTATCAAGTCTTGAAAATGATCTTTTTGGTGGTTTAGCAACAGACTTTTGTTCATCTTCAGAAGTAGGTGATGGGAAAAACTTGATCTGCTCATTTTCTGATTCATCGCTCGATGAAGAATCATCCGAACTATCTGAGCTGTCAGAGCTTGAAGAACTACTTGAATCATCGTCACTTGATAGCAATAAGTCGCATTTCTTTAATTGCTGAACGTCTGTGATTTTTTTTGTACCTTGATTTGCATAATTGTATGGAACTTCGTCTTCGTCAGATGAACTATCTTCCAATTGTTGAATTGGATATCTTTCAAAAAGTTGATATTGTGCCATTTTTTAAAAATGTTAATATAATTTATGATTTAATGTTGTTCACTTAATTTGTTGATTCTTTTTTCCGCACAATAAGAGCTTGAATGATATAATCTTCTTCAGCAAAAGTTGAGATAGTTTTACGTTGATCAATTAGATTTGTTGACATTTTATACAATTTCAATTGAGATCATTTAATGATTAATTTTAGGTACCTAAAAGTTAAACTTAAATATAAATATTTATGTGACTTGCTGGATGTTCTGCAATAGTTTAACAAGAATCTCAATTATCTTACCGAACCAAAAGTTTATTTAAATTGAAACTTAAATGATTGATTTAAATAAAATTAATTTTTCGACAGTTTCGCAAAATCATCAAAAATGCAATCATCGAACTGCATTTACCAAATCTGATTATAAACCGAAAACCTACCAAACTCATTTAACTTATTGATTCAACATCAACGCACTTATTAACGATAAAATAAAAGCCAATAAATTCACTAATTAGTTTCATTAATATTTTTCTGGTCTTGCAGACTACCTACATCAAAAACATTCGCAATAATTACAAAATAAAATGAGCACTCATCAATTTTTTTCAATTAATTGTATTATCAATACAACTATTAAGCTGAATACTCAACAAATAATTGAATTGAATCATTATAACGCAGCTTCTATTCAACAGCAATTCCAAGAACAATTGAGTCGGATTCGAGAACAAACGAGCAGAATCAATAAAATAACATTTCATTTCAGATATCCATGGGATTGTGCATTAATGATGTTACAGTATTTAAAGGTATTTGAAGGTTCATCTTTTCAATTCGATGATTCTGAATTAATTTTTAAAAAATTGAAAAAATATTTTCTATTCAACAATTAGAGTACCTGGAAGAACGTAACTAATGCATGACCCCAAAAAGAAACCAGCAAATCAGCAGCAGCAATAGAAAAGCTCAAACAATTCCACTAAGCATTCTAAATGAAAAAGAATTTCTCGGTTGAATTATGCAACAGCGATGTTGTCATAAATCATTTGTATCTAAAGCACAGCACTCAACTCGCACAGTAAAAAAAGGGAGTGAAAATGTCTTGAAATGAAAAAGATTGATTTCGTTTTAGGTATTGAGGCGTGGAGAGACTTGCTTTTGAAGAGTCTTGAAGCGAGAAATTTTGGTGATTTAGAACATATTTTTTTGGTGATTCTTTTGGGGATTTAGCATCCATTTTGGGATTTCTTTTTGCTTCTTGTTGGCTTTAATGTTAAAATATGATTTTAAGGTTTTTTTTGGTGACTGTGCGTTTTAATGAAATTGTCTAGCATTTTGCTTTTTATTTACTTTCTATGTTCAAGTTGTGAACAGCCTCTAACATCTTTAAGCAATAATGACAACTTTAAACCTGAATTTATCAAAAATATTTGGCAATATTTCTAATGCGTTTAATAATTCATTCCACAAACACCTTCAAATTTGCCCACTTTTCATCTCCCGCATCATAAAAAAGGTATCATAATTTTTGATAAAGGTTCAGCTTGTGTCTACTGTCCATTCACTCTTTTTTATTCCCTTTGGTGCGATCAAAGGAAATGGAAAATTATTCATTGAAATTAATCCGTCAACAGCAAAAATTAAAATGGAATAAAACAAGCAAAAGAAAACTACTAAAGAGGTGGTCACTCGTGACACTCCAACCATTCTGATTTTTTGGCCATCTTTTGTCAGACTCAGCACAAATATTATAAGCCAAAAATCGCATCAAAAAAGCTTAAACTGAAGGTAGAGATAGATGGACCAATGGACGTACGGACAAAATTCGCGCAATAGCATCATTTATTGAAAAGAAAATGCGTTAAATATAGAAAGGAACTGACTCGTTTATCCAAGAAAAAATAACAGAGAATTAATCAACAGCTTCAATTTTTTTGTGCTTTAAACTTTTTCTTTGCCGTACAGAATGCATTAAATTACAAATTCGTTAAATTAAATCTTTCGTGTCATGGTGAAATAGGGGAACCGACATGCTTACTCTCTGATGAGATTATTTTGATAAAATTATGAGTTTCTTTTTCCACGAGAGTTTTTGATTTTATGTAGAATTAAATTGAGTTATTGAAAAATATTTAAGGGTGATGTCAAGTACGTTCAGTGTCGTAGGAAGCAACATTTAAAGGCATCCTATTTTATCCTGCACTGTCCCTATAACCTTCTTGCTGATATTCTCATTTTGACTCATAAAACAATAAAATATCATCCTCTGAAAGAAGTAAGGCAACAAATTAAAATCCAAAAACGATTTTCGCACGAATAAGATTGCGTGGGTAGCGCAAGTTTCGCTCGTCCTTACAAGATTTTCACTGTTAAACCAAAAGATTATTTCGCTTTTTTGTGTATCTCTTGCTAACAAGCTCCTGCGAGGATTTCATTGAAACATAAATATAAAAGTGACTTACGAGGATAAGAAGAAGCAATTCAATCATGACGGGGAGGTAGAGACAGAGACAAGGCGTTGAGTAGAAAATAAACACGCACATAGACATTTACAAGTATTGCAAAAAGGTTGATGAATTTAGCATTCAATTCATAAATTGCCATACTTTGCCCTTCATCATCCGTTGCCATTTCTGTTAGTGACACTGCATCTATTTCTATTTTAATGCTCCCAAAACATGTCATCGCTTTTTTTAATTGATTTAATTAAAAATGTTAAGCAAAGTGAATTTTTACATTAAATATGGAATGAAAGGAACTTCAAGCTTCTTTAATTCAGAAGCAAATTAGGTTTCTTATTTTCTCTAATTTACGTTCAATGAAAGTGATGTAAAAAGGTAGAATCGTTTATTGTACATCAAAAGGTTTCTTCTCAATGCTTTTTGTGTCTTAATTAATAATTTGCTTCGTAGGAAAAGAAAGAGAGCAAGGACTATTGAATGGATGTACAAAAAGGAATGAGGGATGGACACTTTGGGAGTTGTGAAGTGAGGTGTTGAAACAGAGTGGAGTCTGGGATATCGAGACATATTTAAGCGAATATGCCAGTTCGAGTGGGGATTCTGTGGTTGAGTATCACTCTGGTATAGGTAACGATTTGTAAGGTTGTGAATACGTGGGTCAATTCCTACCAGAAGTTGATCTTAAACATTCCATGAACTTTTGTCGATCCGACAAGGATTTGCTCATTACGTAAAACTAGGATTGAGCTTAGTTTTAAGATTTTTGTCTAGCTGAAGATCCAAGGCATGGAAAATCAGGATTAATCCTGAAAAATCCCAAAAATCCTAAAAAATTCCTGAGTCAATAAACATGGAAATGTGAAATCCCTTTTAAATCCCTGGTGCATTTGATGAATAACTTCGGGATTTCACATTTTCATGTTTATTGGCTCAGGGATTTTTTTAGGATTTTTGGGATTTTTCAGGATTAATCCTGAGTTTCCACGCCTTGTGAAGATCATTTAGAAAACTTTAATAAATTTATGATAATATTAGCTACAACTATGGATATCTTGAAGATTGATCTAATTCAATCATATTCAGGTGAAATGTTGTCAAAATTATTCAAAAATCTGCCCCAATTCTTCCTTATAAGTCAGAAAATTTCACTCCAAAATCTTTAAATTCTACTTTAAATTGTGAGCTTCAATTCATTCCTACAACATTTTCAATTTGTATCCCCTTTAACATTCTCAATTTCCCCCCTTCACTTGAATACATCATTCACAACAGCACTGAAAATTCCAAAGTCAATAAGGAATATTCTTTCCTCATCATGGATGAATAGATTTAAATAAAGCTCCTAAATGGTCTCGTTGGGTAAAGCAACAGTTTTTATCCGCTTTTCTCTACCACTTTAAATTGCTTTCCTCATCTACTGTTCAGGATTGTGATGGGAAATCAGCAATATTTCTTTATTTTATTGTTGTTGATTTTTCTTGTGTCGGATTTTTTTAAAGGTTTCTAGCAAGTTTCTAGAATTCAATTGCGTTTGGAAACGAAAATCGAAGAATTAAGTCATTTTGTGTACGGTGGTTAAATAAATGTTTATCATTGCAATTTTAAGAGGTAATGACTAGGTTGTTCATTTTTAGACGCTCGAATAGTTCAAACAATACAAAATTTATTTTAAAAATTCGAAATTAAAGTCGTCAAATAGGAAATAATCACTGTAAGTTCTTCAATATAATTTTTTTTAAATTTTCAATAAAGTTGTAATGACGTCTTTTAATAAGATTAATTCCGCATAAAACGTATTAAAAATATATCACGTGTAATTCTCGTATATTCGACTTTATTAAATCTTCATGTCATTTTTCATTGAATATGTTCGAGATCTTTAATTAAAATTATCAGAAAATCATCCACGATTCCTCTTTAAATTGTTATTTATGCTTTTAATTGTTGAAATGTTTCTTAAAGATTTTTATTTAAATTTCATTCATACTTTTTTCTTACCTATTCAAATTAATCTCGAACTTAATAAAACATTTTAATCTCAACTTTATCCTTAATTAAGCCAAAATCTCCCATTATTCATTGATGCTCAAATCCAGCTCATGAAAATAGAAATTTCCATGGAAAACTCTCATTATTTGCCATTTTTAGGCAGCACAATTAATGAGAAATAAAACAAAAGTTTCCCAAATTGTAAATAAATAATTATAAGCTGTTCATGATTGTCTTGAACAAGAAAAAGTCGAGAGACACGTGAAGGATATTCAAGAATGAAGCACGGTAAATATCAAAACAATCCATTTAAACAAAAAGGCTTCGATTTGAATCTTTCATTTATTTATCTCAATTTATCCTTGATTAATAAAGTTCTAATATTTGTTGAGCTTGTGGCAGCTTTAATATGTGCAAAGTGATACCAGTGAAGAGAATTTCCTAGTTTTTCGAACCACAACCAAGCTTGAAGTCTTAACTTACTTACTTACTTCTCTGGCCGTACAGATCAATTGTGATTTATGGCCTCACTTAGATGGCGACTGAAGCTGGGTCTTAAGTCATTCTGTCCATCCAATGCCTTCAGCCTTAATTCTGATGTTAAACTTTGCAACAAGCAGGTTAAATATGAAATGTAACATTAAAATCATTTGCAAATGACCACTAAGTGTACGAAACTTGCCCATGTCAAGGACAAGAAGTGCTAGAACTTACTTCCAGCAAGCACTACAATCTAATCCTCCCACGACCAATAGCATCAATATCTCTCCCACACCAATTGATAAACAATTCTTTCGCATTCTCATAACTCACTTCAAATATCTACTTTACTAAAAGTTCCCTCACTCAGTCACTTTAACTCACTTGCACAATCCGTTCCACCAACTGATAAAAATGAAATTCTGAAGTGCCATTATGATAAAAATCGTTGTGTTGAATCATTTGCTAAAAACTTTTTATTGCTTTATATTCGGAAAGAACAAAAAAAAAGTTTTATTTTCTTTCTTCTTGTGTCACAAGATAAGTATGTGCTTACAGAGATAATTACGGGACCTTCTTCTTTGTATACATGCATGTGGTAACATGCTCGTTACACAGTAAAATTATGTTCATTTACAGAGAAGCAGACTTTAAGATTTAGGGTGGATTTAGGGGTGATTATCAGCTGACTTAGAGCTGATGTAAAATGCTTATAAAGTTTGTGATAAATGAGTGCTCAGAATAGAGTCAACCAACTCTGCCTTCCGCATTTAAGTGACCCAAATTGATATGATCCTCCTTCCTAATGTCTTTAAATTTTCCCACATCATGTATGCCATCAAGACACAATATAATACAATAAAATTGATCTGAATTAATAATAACAAGCATATCCGAAAGAAAGAAAGAGAGAAAGCAAAAATAGGAGCAGCACATACATGCACGCACATTATCTGTTGAAAGATAAATTCACCCAGACATTTGAATCCTATTGTATGCCAGTTTCACTTGTAAGCCTCACATATCACATGCTATTGATCCGTCAGTGATTGATATAGCAACATGCCACAATCTTCAGCCCATTTCTCCATTCATGATGATGATGATGATATAAAGCTAGCTGGAATGGGTTGGAATCTCATCGTATTCGTGTCAGAATTTTTTTTATCATGTCTTGTGTCTATGATGGTTATGAATGTACACATTTGTATGTTTATCGATATGTGAAGTTCAACATAACTCTGCAAATACATAATATTAATGAAAGATACAACAATAATCCGTTCGTGAATCTTTTCTCATTTCTTTTCAATTTATATTATACTTTTCGGACTATTGAGGTATTGTAGATGGTTAGACAAGTATTGTTATAGACTAAGTGGGTAAGTTTCATATCTCTTTATTGAATAATGCCTCAGTTGGCTTGGATATAACAAGATTTTTGCATGCTTGAGTTCTGTTAATTAATTTACAAACTAGTCTATTAAGCAGAATGTTTTCAACATCAGCAGAAATTTTGCTCAATTTACTCAAGTTTAGCTTTCATCTGCAAATTTACGAAGTTTTTTGTAAATGATGTCTGCAAAAAAATATGAACTTCCTTTATTTTAGAAAAACAAATCATGAAAAGCTTCCAAAAATGTGACCTAACCTTAAAATTCAATCCCTTGACGTCATTTCTGAATAATTCCTAAAAGAGCTCACAATTTTCCAATAATTGGAATTGAAAATCCCCAACAAAATCTTCAATTTTACGAAAAATTAGATTAAAATGTCACAGCAAGGAATCTCAATCGATGAAAATAAGCGAGAACATAAATCTTCGGTTGAAAATCGAGTAAACAAAAGTAGAAGCAGACAAAGCAATTCTCAAAAATAGCTTGCAAAATAGAAAAAAAATCAGCAAATTTTTTGATGGTGTATTAATGTGCCAAAAACTGCTAAACATTTGAAGCTTATCATAGTTTATGAAAATTTGTAAATTTCTTAGAAGCGCAGAAGGATGTCAGATACTTAACATTTACCTGCCCCCCTCCCGCAATCTCATCCAGTTGCGTCCATACTATATTTTTGCTATTTCAAGAAAATTCCTCATTTTGGTCAAGCTACTAAAAGATAAGAGCTATAAATTCATAAACTTTCTTTCCATGACTCACTTTCCTCATACTTTGTGGATGCACATATGATTACTATTTACAAATTATTATCAAATTAGTTCCTTTTCCGATAAGTAATCGATAAACGTCATAAGATGTGACTCGACATGAATAATCAGCATTATCTCTGTGCATTTAAAGTTCAATGTGTTACTCACAATGTGCCTTATCATTGGCAGCAAATAGAAACTAAAAACTGTTCTGTTGTGTATAAAAATAAGAATAATTTCACTTTCTTATTCAGTTGTCTTTTGGCATTCAAGTGAACAGTTACTCAAAAAAGAATTCTAATCATCATGTCGATTCCATTTAACAAGAAGTACAAGCATGAAAAGAGTGAAAACTTTGACGAATTCCTTAAAGAACTTGGTGTCAACTTTATGATCAGAAAAGTTGCATCAACCGCATCATCAACAGTTGAATTAGTAAAAGAAGCAGAAGACAACTTCTATAGCTTTAATACTATATCATCATTCAGAACACAGTCAGTCAGATTCCAGCCAGGTGTTGAATTCATTGAATCGAGAATGGATGGCGAAAAAGTTCCATGCGTTATTACATTTGATGGAAATAAAATGATCCAGGAACAGAAAGGAAGTAAGCCTATCACTATGATTAGAACCTTTACCGATGATGAACTCTTCTTGACAATCAAAATGGGAGATTTAGAAGCCAAACGATGGTTTAAAGCATGTTAACATATCAAATCTTAGGACATCAACAATTTTATCAATGATATTAAAGCATGTGGCATCCTGGATCTGGATCTGGAATCATCAAGAACTGTAATACAAGTTTTAAATGGTTATGGACATCTAAATTAAAAAATTTTCCAATGTAAGGTTCAATTCCTGTCTCAAGCATACAATAAAATTGTTTAATTTTAGTAAAAATGAACCAAAAAAAAATTTCAAAAAGTTTTTTAAAAATATTACAAGAAATTTTTCAGACACAATTCTTTGGTACATGACCCCTTAATACAGTGTTGCCCAAACTGTGTGCCGCGGCACACTAGATTGCCATAGAAATCTTTTTGAAACCACGCGAGCCACGTGCTGTTTGCGATTTTGGTCATGACTTACCCCTAAGCTGTGCCGTGGCTCAAAAAGTTTGGACAACACTGCCTTAAAAGAATAAATCTTTAAAAAAAATCTCAACCTGTTTTGATAACAAATCAACTTTTCCATCCCACAACCCCCTTAACCTTTTCATCATAATTCTTTTATGAGCTGATTAATGAAAAGTCTTTAACATAATAAGTCGCAATTTTCTCTGCTCTACCTTGAAAAAAAAATCCTTAAGTCTTAACTTTTATTCATTCATTTTTTTCTTCGAAAAATGTTTTCATTTTGTTGGAACTAAAGTACGGTATTACTGTGACGTAACACAGCCTTTTTTAGCTACGCAATAAAATTTATTTTCCTACTCAGCATTATTTTTAGCAGAGCGAATAATGCACGAAGGATATCGAATTACTGGCAAAGCTTTTTCGTTCTTTTTTTGATAAATATAGCACATATATTGGATATAAATCGTTTTCAAAATTACATCTACATCAAGTCAAAAGCCTCAACTACCTGTAGCACATGCTCTCAAAAATTGTTTATAAATTGCCTTTGGAATTTTAATATGTTGAAGAAATTCTTCCTTTATGTGGCAATTCTGAGAGATTTGAGATAAGTGACTTTTTATGAAAACATACGCAATAAAATTTCTTGGTGTATAGAAATTTTGCGAATTTAAATTTTGCATATCAAAATTGAAAAATCTTTAATTTCAACATCGAACGTGCTGTTTGGGAATTTTTAAACTTATTTGGATCCATTAAAAAAGGCACGGAAACGATATGAAAGGATTCTGGCACGAGATTCTTTAGCACATGAGTTAAGAGTTGGATATTAGTAAGGTTTCAGGAGGTTTTGTGACACTTTTGAGTATTTGTTTTGAAGTTGTTAGGTTTCTGTAGATTTTTAAGAGTCTTCTTCAATTTTAGAACAATTTACAAAAATGTTAAAGCTTTAAATCACCAATTATTTTAAGCAAACGACTCCAAACCTTCTTATTTTGACTAAAATCTTCCTATCACTTTTTATAAAATAAACTTAAATCCACAAAGCTATAAACGCGATATTTTATTAAATTTTTACAACTTCCCATAAAATAAAGATCAAATAAGATCACTAAAGAATCCCCAGAAACTTCCACATCAAAAGCTATAACCATTATCCAACCCTAACAATTTAGATGTAAACAGAACAACCAAATGATCTTATTATATTAAATTTCATATTCCATAATGAACACATCTAGTAATAACATCTGAGCTTATATCGCATCCACAACCAACCTTCATGAAAACATTTCAAATTCTATTTTTATTAAACAGAAGCCTCAACTGGATTGTATCAAATTTTTGGGCAAAATGTTACAATTAATAGCGAGATTTATCGTGTAATCATCCAAAAGAAAAAGAGTCCACAATGCATATACATAATATTGGAACACGTAGGATGAAAAATTGAATTTATTACGGTAGACCATAAAATATTCAATAAAATGAATATTTTTTATACATAAACATAAATTTATTGCATGGTTCCATGACCATGGAGGAAATTTTGAAAGCACAAGGAGCTATTAAGGAAGAAGTTCGTCATTCTATGACGTCTATTTAGAAGTCGAACTTTTTTTCATCGAATTTCCCTTTAATAGATTTCTAATAGCATCTGACCATTCTTTCTTATACCTCCTAAATATGTGACATCATAAGCTTACAACCCCTTCAAAGCCTTTTCTGTGTAAGCACTCTTGATCCTTTATGGGAAAAAAAAGATGGTGCCCCAAAAAAGCATGAATATGTAGAAATTTTACATGAATGATGAAGTAAATTTTTTTTGAATTAAGTTAAAAATGTAAGTAAATATGGAAACATTCCACAACTGGGAGCTCCCTAATCCCATCATCACGTATGTCATCTATTGAATTCGACAATATTGCTAAGCTGTTTATAGAGACTTTTTCTCCCACAGTATTGATAGTTTTGTGTAAATATTTAATTCATCATCAAACTTTTTTTGTCAATAGAGCAACTTTCCTCATTGCCTGACTGTAAAATGTACAGAAATTTCTTCTTTTGCTTTTTAATGCTATTGGAATGCGAAGTAAGAATCATTTGATTAATCGACATAATAGATGTGAATAGATGGAGATGATTATGCATGAGAAAATTCATTGGATGTTTCCTGTATGAGCGTTGTCTGTATGGCAGTGGTGTTCAACCTTTTTTGTACCACAGCACACCTTAGTTGTAAGCCATGATCGATTCTGCATACGGTTCGTGGAATTTTTCGACACATGGGTTGGACATCACTGCTACGTAATACTTTTATGCAGAAGTTTTGAATTAGCCAAAGCTGCAACAATGAAGAGAAAAAAATAAATTATCAGAAACAAAGCCTGTAGCTTTCAATCTCATATTATCACCAATCAAATCATGTTTTACAATGCAGTGATTTCATCATATAAATTGCCATTCAATAGCTATTTTTACTTGTAGTGATGCGCGGATTTGTAGACTAGACTAATGGACAGAGTGACAAGATGTTTTCGAAATTCTCAGAGAACAAGGAAAGTAAATTCAGGACAAATTTTTTAAAAGTAAGTGGAATTAAGAAAGAAGATAGTCCTCTATAAAACCTAGAGGAGGGTCAGCCTGCTAATGGATAGCATAATAGACAACATCACAGAACAATGAACAAATTAGGGGTCATACACTTATGACGTCCGAAATTAACGGTCACATTCCAAAAAAGAACAACGGATTTCCAGGAATTTCTATTTTTCTTTTCTTGCTGAACCCCCCCCCCCCCCCCCCTCCTGGACTTCATAAGTGAACGGCCCTTCAACGGAAATGTGGAAAATCTGATTGCAAGGACGTTTATAGACAGCAATAGGATATTAACGTTTTAATTACTAACTTGACAAAAGGATGTCCTGTCAAAAGAGTGATAGACAGGACAAATGCCTGATCATAATCCATTCCACTTTTAAAATTCTTGTGTCATTAAATGCAGGAAAAATTCACATTCGAATGCTCAAAAAATATTTTTATTGCTCAAGAGATTTTTCCACTTTCACTCCCTTCCCAACCACACATGCATACCGAAAGAGTTCCATTAAAATTGTTAAGCATATAAATTGCTCATCACTTGAATTAAGTGAATGAGGAAAGCACAGAGCGATAGAAATTTTTATTACTACATTAACCTCTCGAATCTGTGATGAAATCCTCAAGTTATCACGTGCTGTAATCGTTTACTTTCAAGTTGCATGTGTACACATCTAATCTCATCGTCTAGTCCATAATCATCATTTATTTTCATGTCGTCTATTTCCCTTCATTTATAGTGATGAACAGAAAATTGACAAGCAGTAAATATTCCAGGTGGAATTGATTGAAAATTTTCCCCTTCGGATGTCTCAATACTTGCTTCTAGACACACATAAAATTCATTTCTAATTTCATTTTATTCGCAATTTTCAATTTTTATTGTGCAAAGTTTTCTGAAAAATGATGGACTTTTATTGCCATCATGTCCATTTAGTGGATAGAAAATTCGAGAGAATTAGTAATCATAATAAAAGAGTGGATGTAACTGATTTTGATGATTTTGTTTGGATTTGAGATTTTAATTATTATTGAATTTAAGTTGAGAATTTGATTTTCGAATGAGCATTTACCTTCTGTAGCTTAAAATCTAGAATAAGGCCGCAAGTAGAATTAAGATATAAAATTTCAATTAAAAAGTCAATTTTGAGCTTTAAGAACCTCACAAAATTCCCCTAAGAGCACCAGACAACTTCATAATTAGCATTTTAATCTAATCGTTTTTCATGGAACAAAATAACTTTGTTCAACCTTATTGCATTAAAGGATATTAGCTTTTTTTAAATCCTTAAAATCTCTTTTTAGGAAATTACTTTTTAAAAAGTTCCAACCAATAACGAATCGCTTAAGTTCAATGGGATTTGGATGGTATTAAAATAAATCAAAACTTTTATTTCTGTACAAAATAGAAAATCCCCTGAGTCGGATGTTCATTTTTCATCTTGATACTTTTCTGTGAGTAAATCCATAAATCGCCTTGACGTTTTAATTGAGCTTATGATTTTTTTTTCAGTTGTGATGAAGTTGGGGGGAGCAATATTGATGACTTTTTGAAGAATAGAAATTCGAAAATATTTTTAAGTGAAGATGCATGCTTGCAAGCCTGATATGAGTAAGTTCTTATATCTGCTTTAATTCCTATAAGAAAGTTGAAACTCTTTTATCATAAAACTAAGGAAATATTCAAAATAGCACCCAAAAAATGAATAAGACACAATAAGTAGGTTCAGGTCAGACTGCTAAATCAAGTTGGTGCTAAAACTTTGCAAATGGTTCGGATTCCACTATAAACTGGAGGTCTAAAGGAAATGGATTCTTTTCTAATTTGAATCACAGTGCCTCCAGTTCAAAAGGCTAGACCCTCTCCATGGTTAACCTTTGAATGCGCTTTAAAACTTTTACTTTTACAACTTCCCAATATCCACATTCTCAAATGTTACATTTCCCAAGTGCACAGCACCAGAAGTTTCATACGAGTTGTCATTCCTGTCTCCACATAATACAGATGACAAAAATGCCATCCATGCAAAAAACCACTTTTATTTGCGGATTAAATTTAATTTAATTTTTTTTTTGTCCTTCACCTTCATTTGAGATTATTTGAATGAACGAAGATAAACGAGTTTTATGCTGTAGCACCTGCTACTTGTTGTGCCATT